TACACTTAATAGGAAATGACCAAGAAAAGGACTCACTCAAGAATACATACTCCACCCTTAAGACAGACAGACAAAAGGGACAAGCAACAGTTTAAAATGTTTGCAAGGACATCTGATTCCAAAACAGTAACTGGCAACAAACCTGGCGCACAATACTTTGCTTTGTGTTTTTTTTTTTCGATCCTACAGTGCTGTTGTTTCTTGAATAAACTGTGCCAGCGCCATTTAAAATAGTAAAAGCAGTGACAAGATCCATCCAACCCATTTTCAAACAGCTTCATCCAATACAGGGATGTGGGGCAGCCGAAGACTATCTCTTGGCAAGAACACTGTGGAAAGGACACCCATCCATCACAGAGCAGTGCAGATGTTTTGTTTTATTCTTAGTATGCAGAAACAGAACAGGTGGCTCAGTGGGAAAGAGGAGCCATCAGCATTCTGTACTGTATTCCAACAAAACTGAACTGCAAATTTGCATTAGAGATGGGTATAATTTTAAATGTTGTACAGGCAAGAATCATTAATGCACACTGTAAAAAGGCCTTAGGAAATCTGGGCGAAACCACATTCTGGTTGTTGATGCTACTGAAATTTCAAGAAGAGCACCTGCAACAGTAATTAAGCAACTGTATTCCTGGGCCATGGCACTGGTCTAATTACTACAAATGAATTAAAAGGCTGCTTTGGTATAGTTTATGAGACTTACCCTTTTAGAACCTTTGACTGTTACCCACTTAGAAAGTGTGTCTATGCCCTCTTTATAAAAACTCTAAAAGGCACAAAAGCAGATGTAAAACAAGAAAGAGACTTAAATCTCAGCACCATTTTCCTGTATGTAAGTAAAATAACCAGTGTTTACTTTTGATATGTTGCTATCCTGCTTTCTGTATTTGACAAAAGTAGTATAATAGTTATAATTACTCAGTATAATCTGAGTAATTTTTTTAAACTTTTACAATTTGCTCAGAAAATTAATCGTTCAATTTTGCTTCCATAACTTTAGGTTAAAAAATGATGTGCTTACCCCAAAAAGTAGCTGGAATCTAGATTCCATAAATGATATCATGTAATGAGTTATGCACATCCTAAATGTGGAAACCTTTTGTTTTACAGACAGTAGATCAGCAATGAGGATTATTTGATGGGAACCTTTTGCTAAGGTTAGAAAAGCACTTGCTGTAAAAGAACTGTAAAGGCTCCAGGCAAGAAAAGACTGATATTTGTAAGTCCATTAACTTCTAGGTAAGAAGGCAAGTAGATCATACGACTGATAGGATTGGGCTGATATGCATGAAGATGCACTGGTACCATCTGGAATTTTGACACATTCTGGCATCTCATCTAATTACCATGTTTCACATGATTACATCCCAAACCGTTTCACTGTGGGAAGCCAAAACTGCAATTCTACGCACACTATGCCATACAGTAGATGTCTGAAGCAGGACACATGAATGATATAATTACCTCATTATTAAAAAAAAAAAAATTGACTGTGGGCTTTAATCGCATGGTTGTACAAGGGCTAGAGCTGCTATCTCATAGCTCTGTGTCCAGCATTTGATTCTGCATGAATGCATATTCTGTGTGGAGTTTGCAAGTTATCACCGTTTTCACAAACATGCTGCCTAGTCTATCTGCAATCTCTGTATTGTCCCTTTGTGCATTCCCTGTGACAGATGAGCATCCATAAAGGCTTGTTGTGCAGCCTTGCACACTACTCTTCCAGGAAAGTCTCCGAGTTACAACCACCCTTACCAGGAATAAGCAGCTTTCTACTGATGGTCAGAATGTAGGTTTTGTCAAAATAGTAAATATATGTTGTAGTTTTATATAAACACAATTTTGATGTACCACTTTATAAGACTTTTACATTAATTTTACCAAGATACACAGAGGTTCAATCAAATTACAGCTTCAGTTTACCTTAATGAAAAAGTATCACTTCACCCTATTATTATTTCATTATTATTATTATTTCATTATTATTATTATTTTAGGAACCTGGAACTTACTGAATGTTCAGATTGATTTTAATGTATACCGTGTTTCTAATTTTAACTGCTTTTGGATTCCAGGTCAAAGACAAACAGAAAGACAGGTCAATAAAAAGATTGAATAGAGTAATATTCATTATTTTGAAAACAGAATAATTCTAACATGCAATTTTATAAATAAAACACAGTCAGAAAGTAAAAACGGTTTACGTAGAAGCTGTCATTATAAATAGAATATTTTCTCTACCTCCCATCATCATATGTCTAGATATGTTTAGATATTATATTGAGCTTCAGTATTAGAATCATTGCATTTGAAAAAAAAGAATCAAGTCAAGAAAGTGTATATGACCAGAAAGAAGATTCTTTCTGTCTCCTCTAAATACCTCTTGCACTAGAGTTTGGAAAGAAGCCCTCTTTAGTTTGGATTTTAGACTGGCTACTACTGTAGCATATCTGATGAAGAATAATGAGTTGTGGTGCTGCCTTTTGGTTTGCATTTTGTGTAATGAAATCATTTAAATCACTATTCCTATAGTTTATAGTTTACATTCCTAATCTATAACAGGCCCTGGTGCAATATCTAGGAGTTTACTAGGACACTTGACTAGATAATTCACCTGCTCCATGTTCATATGAAGGTAATATCAGAGAGTTCCTAAATTTTGACTCTTTTTTAGTTTAGTGTGTGATGCCAGCCATTGGATGTTCACATTCTGGGCTGGTGGTGGTGAATGAGGGTACAATCAATGCACTAATATTATCAATTAGGCATTTCTTCTAATATTAACTAGTCTAAAGTGAGCAGTACTGTGATAAGACAAACCATTTCAGCACACTCCATATGTACAGCATGTTTACAAGGAAAAACAATCAAAATATCACAGCTCCACCACTGTTTTGCTAATCACAGAGACATGTTTTTAACACCATTGATTTATTTTTCACTGCAAAGTTGTATTCCATTAGGTAATAGTTAAATAACCCTTCAGTTCTTCAGAAGAAGTTGTCAGTATTCCCCGGTAGTGAGTTAGACCATGCACATAGTGTGCAAATGTTGGTATGCCCCCTTTCTGTACTGTATATCTGTTGCTACTGAAATACACATTATTAGCTCGGTTTAAATGATGTTTACAGTAATCACACGAAAAACTCCCCCAGAGCAAAACCTTCCATCTATTATACAAAAAAATAGAAAAATAGATACATTGATTTAATGCATGAATTATGTGGATTTGAGATTTTTTCATCAACATTTTCCTATAGCCTTTTCTGAAGTCCTGTACCTTGAAGGAACTGAGGTTAGCTGTTTCAGATTAGTGCTGAAAGCAATTTCAATTGGAGGACAGTAGTACAATATGAAATGTGACTTCCATTTGTTCAAGGCAAAGTATGACAAATGTTCGGTCAAAAACAAGCTAAAATTGTACGGATCTTACACTGAACAATCACATCACATAAAGCAATAATTACGTACAGGATGATACAAGGATAGTGCTTTTCCAACAAAGTATACACTAGCATCCATTTTGTTAGTCTCACTGCCTGCCTTAAAATGTCTGGATTATCAACAAATTCAACATGTGGACCTGCTGATAAGGCTGACAAAGCTCACGCTGACAGCAATACCTCAGCATACTAGATGAAAATACTCAATTTAATTGAATCCTTTATTTAATCAAATAAGTCAATTGTGAATAATTGCTCATTTACAATGATGACCTGAAGACTAATTTACAGAGCAAGGCTTTTACGAGAGATATTTTTAGTTAAGTACCTTGCTCGATGGTCCAACAGTTGCCTCTCACACAGCACATCACCCCACTACGCCCCAGTCCAGGGGTGTAATCAATACTTCACCCTACAGCCCCACCTTTGTTTGGTCATGCAAACATATGTAAACTCAGGATTTTACAGCCTATTTCTAAAAGTGTAGCATCACATTCTGCAATTACGAAAAAGACCCTGGCTGTATTTCTGTTTCACTGTAGAATTGTTTTTACAGTAAGTGATTAACATATTCACAACAGTATTATGCTGCACTGTGAACTGTTTTACGAAAACATTAATTTTCTTTGTTTTAATGTTTTATAAAACATACATAGTATAATATATTAACTTGAATAGAAAATGTATTGTCAAGGACAATTATTCTGTGGGGAAACATTCCTTAATAATAACTCAAAGTGAAACATTTTACTTCATTGATTGCTCATAAACATTGACTTGATTTATTCAGAGGGTTTTTTTAATTGTTTATAGTGGTCGTGTTTAATATGTTTTAGAAGTTCTCATTGTTCTACAGTATAAAACTGGCCATGTTTTAAATAATTTTTCAAACAATCCTTTACATTCATACATCTAGAAACGTGGTATAATACCGAATGGATTTTAAAATTGTATAACGAGCTCTGAAGCACTTAAACGTTGCCATGAACTTTATGAAAATTATGATAAACCCTATCGCATTGTATAATTAGTAACAATAATACACAATAACAGTTTTCACGGTAAAGAAATAATACCAAATACGTTTCTAGTCTTCTAATCATTCAATTTTTTTTATAACAAAATGAAATCGCTTGGTTTTCAAACTCTTTTAAACTGTTTCACAATCATTACATACAATATACAGGTCTGTTAATAAGCACTTGACATATGCGATGAGCATGCTATTGATAAAGATTACACAAAATGTCTTTAAAAGAGCAACAGAGCTATTTGAGCGCTGATGGGGAAACACTGGCCCCGAAACACACATAAGACGTTTTGACTATAAGTAATACCTTGCATGACCTGTGATGAAACTGGCACTACGCGAAGTTTATTGTAAGCGGCAAAAAGCGTCCACTACGTTGCAATTCATAACGTTAGGCTAGACGCAATTTAACTATAGATGCACACGTGAACCACTTTCAGTTGAAAATTGAACACCCACACAACATTTTAGGCTGACTTTTGTTTCCGTAAGAAAAGATAAGAGATAGCAGGAATTTTAATTACCTTGGCTGCCACTGAGGAACTTGGTTTTTCCAGAAGATCCCAAAGTTTCTTTCTTTTGTCCGCACAACATGTGTTATCAAATTCCTCGCCCTCTCTTTCCCTTAGAGTTTCGGCCTCTCGTTTCAGCTCCTCGTTCATTTGCTCCTTTTTCTGGTGGTATCTTGCCTGGCAGCAGGACTCCAGGTAAATCTCGTCGACACCCCAGTAGTCCAGTTCTTGACTGAAGGACAAAGCGCACATTTCCTCCATCATGTGCAACTTGCCGGTGCGGTAAAAATTCAAAATCGAAGTGAATGCCCCGGGGTGTCTGTCAAAAAAGTATTCATTATCCTCCAAATTGTAGTCGTCGCATATTTCCATTATTGAATCGTGGGTGTTGCAGTCTCTAAGTTTCCCGAGTCTTGTGCGAGGTAATCGGTCTAACGTTCTCCATAGAACTTCATGAGGCTGCCCACCAACGTTCAGTCTCACCCTCCGAGAGCAAGCCTTGCTCCTTATGATATCCACCGGCTCCGGAGGCAAAGAGGCAGTTGATCGAGATCCCGTTTTATTCATCCCTGCATTCGTTTTCTCCATTATTATTTTTTCAAAAAAATAAGGCCGGCTACAATTAAGTTCTCACAGTTCAAAACAAAGGATCCCGGGGAGAAGTTAGTGCCTACATTTGCGCTTGTTTACATCCATTTCTGCAGCTGAGAGGGGGGGAAGAAAAGAGAAAGAATATCAGTGGCACTTTCTAAAATGGAGACCAAACCCAGATGACCTACAAAACTGGGAAAGAACATTTCTCACGCAATGTCAGGTGGTTTATCCACTAATCAGAGGAGCAAGTAGATCATTTAATCTGCTCTAAGAACCACAGCAGATTTCTCTGCCCGTCTCTCGCCGGGCTGGGGGAAATGCTCCTTGTGCATTGAGCTCTACCAGTGAGAGCTGTCCACTAGAGTAGTGCTGAAACTGCAGCCTCCCCGAAACTGAAAGGCTGTTTTCCCTCTTGCAAACCACCAGTTCCCTTCGGAAACCGCTTTGCCTTTCAGCGCCGAAACCGTCGAACTGCTCCTGTAACAGTCAGAGCCGTCGCCCCTTATTGTAAGAAGACTCTTCTTGGACTGATTGCCCCTAATGCGATAATAACACCTCTAACACCTATGCACTGTTTGTTTTTGTTTGAATATCCAAACGGGAAGGAAACCCCCTCCGTCACTGCGAGAAAACACTGAAATCACGCACGTACTTTGACAAGCAGCACGTTATTATTTTAAAAATAACATCGTTTGCTATGTTACGCTTGCGAAGATAACATGAAATCGCTTATTTTCTAACATTTGTAGCACACTGATAATTGTGATAAGTCACTGCCCGCAAGGCAAATGAAAAACACCCTGTCACATAAATTAAGATCATTTTGAAATCAGACGCTTTTAATCGGCTCCAGATGGTTAAGAAGATGACAAAATACGCCATTCTCGATGGAAGGGTAAATGTTGAAAACAATGTAATTTTAGGCATGATACTAAAAAGCGTTTAATTCCCTGGCAAACCTGGCACATAGTGTTTTTTTTTAATACGGCTGTGTCAGCACTGAGTTTTTGTGTTGTCTAGGTCAACAAATCTTCAATTCAAACTAACGCAATACACAAAGATAGCCAGTCCCAAGCTACACTGGGAGAAACGACTACAGAGAAGGATACATTTAATTGAAACGGGGCAAGAATATTATTAAATTGTAATCCCTTCACGCATAATGCACTTCTTCTCAAACGGGTGTCAATGGCATTTAACATCCTTCCTTTTAGGAGCTTCCCATGGGAATATGATGATAAGACAGATGGCAACAAAACCACCGGTAGATTATGGTGCTTGATGCCATCGACACTACCTTGATAACAGAAACTACAAATACGTCACTGAGAAAAGGGGATTTTCAAACCTCTGCGAAAGCGACCACATACCTCCTTTAAAGCATGAGCTCCGGAAGACGAAATGAATGAGGACTGAAGAATCTTGAGTTGAAGATACAAAAAAAAACCCGTCAATGATTATTTGCACAATAAATAACCCTTCATGTTTAAACCGGCTCTTAAAGTTGTTCCCTTCATTCCATAGCTCTTGAATGGGTAGTGCAAAAAATATCGTCAGTCCCCATTTCTTGTCTCTGCCCTTTAATGGAGATCAACAAGTCTGGTCTGGACCTGGAAGGCTTCCCCCTACATGATTTCAGTGTTTGTGCGTTAGGAACGGGAGTAAGGCAAGCAGGAGCCCGGGTCTGCGGTAAGGAAGAGAACTGCAGCTCCACCGTCAGGCTCAAGTGAGGAGATAAGCGAGTTAACCATTTCTTGACCGAGTCGTGGCGAAGGTGCCAGGAATCACAATTTCACACGGAAATGCAGCACGGCTTTTTACTACACACGCGTCGGACTTCAAATGGATTTCCGTTTAAGTGTTACGAATAAAATTTGGGATGCTGCAAAATAAAACCACTAAAAGGGAGGCTACTATCAGTATTGGAGTAGTGGCACTGTGGCTAAGGACCTGTGCCTATGGCTAAAAGGTTGCTGGTTCAAATCTTGCAGCTGGCAGGGGAATCCTACACTGTTGGGACCCTGAGTAAGACCCTTAACCCCAGCTGCTCCAGGGGTGCTGTATAAATGGCTGACCCTGTGCCCTGACCCCAAGCTTCTCTCTCCCCATCTGTGTGTCTTGTGGAGAGCAAACTGGGGTATATGAAAAAACAAATTTTCTCTTTATTAGAATAGTGTAACTACTATATTATCACTAGCCAACTAGATACTGTAGGTAAAAGTTATTTAAGTCTATATTCTCATCTTACAGCATTTCCTCCTCAAATTCTGAGTTTATTTTTAACAAAACTAATTTTAAATAGAGTATACTCAAAGAATGTGTGGGACATGATCTTTGTTTTCTTTTAGAGGCTGTTTACACCAGCAATGAGAATGTTCTTCATAATCAGAAGAAGAGGTTATTTTAAAAAATGCACGATAGCACTGAACTGCCATATGTTTTAAGTCTATATTTGTACATGTATGTAAAGTTTCTAGAGTATCTGAGCAAAACCAAGCAGAATTCCTTAATTATAAACATGTGACAAAACAGAGTAATTTTAATGGTAGCCTGATAGAAATGAAAGCCTTTAAACAGGCCATCTTGTCTGTTTCCTCCAATGCTGAAGATGTTGTATTCTGAAGTTGGGATAATGAGATGCCTTTGAAGCCAAAAGTGTTAGTATGATCAATTTGCATCATGGACTGGAAGTAAGTTTTTCTCAAAGGAAAACAACGTCTGTTTCAGTAAATAGTATTTTTTTCTGTTTTATGAAAACTTTAAAAAATAATTGAACTTTTTTACGTTTTGATATAAGGAGGTTAACCTGTCCCTGTACATGTTCTGCATTTACTGTACATCAACTTAAATTACTGAAATGTTTAAAACTGTTTATACAACGGACTTCAGACTATTTTATACAACAAGGGATGTATGTAACTCAAGCACACAATTTTATAGATATCCAAGTGCTTAATAAGGAAAACATTTTTAGATGCTATGCTGAAACAAGTGATTTATAGGCCTGGCTCCATGTTTATTGAGTTGGTGTCTTCTTGTTCTTAGGGGAAAGCTTACTGTATCTAGCAGGACAAGAGTTTATCATTTTGACAGAAAATACTGTCATGACAGTTTTGGGTCATTAAGTTTCCATGTAACATTTTTCTTCCAAAAGGTTTTGTCATGTGGAAAAACCTTGCCTTCTTGGACAGACAGCTTTATTCCAGTCACTTTGACAGGTCTGACCTCAAGGGCTTGCTATTGAAATGGTTAGCAGTAATCTAATAGGTTAGGTACACTTTATGTTCAAATCACAAACCGTATGTTTTAAATCAGAATGTTGTCACCAGAAAAGCGTTTAAGAGTTAAATCATTCTCTCCTATGTCTTGATGATTGGGGTCAAAGTATAATAGAGTTTGTCCTGTGGCGATATAGGAGAAAAGCATCAGCACAACTTCAATTTGTAAAGATTATTTGGAATCAATCATTCACTGTATTTCAGCACTCTCTTGGAGATCAATGCCATGTTATTGAAAGAAAAACATGGAATCACACAATCTGTGTACTGTACATTAGGTAAGATATTGGATTCATTTATTCTGGAAGAAAAATGATCCAATAGCTCATTGCATCACTTTATGATTTGCTTTGGGTTTTATGGGAAACTGGAAAAAAACTGCTCATACTCTTACAAAAACAGCACTACCTGTACTCTCTGACATTCCTTCAAATTCTCTTACTCCAACGCAAGTGTTAAAAGAGTTATCGGGAACTTCATTACATACAGAAATATCCAAGGACAGATCTGAGAAGACTAAGATTAAAAAGTTACAAAAACGTCAAGCAATTGTTAATAAGGATAAGCTACTGTAACTGTACAGGGTTCCACATTGCAGTTTGTATAATAGTCATTGATATGCACTAAATTATACTGTCTATGACTCAGGAACAGAATTAGTACATACTGTATTGGTAACATTAATGGCTTATTGCTTATTGGGTCTTTATCAATTTTAGAAACTACAACCAGGAGGACACTGAATCTAAGCAGGCCAGGCAGGATTCTCTATAGCTTGCACTGTATTCATACAGAATGACATTCTCTCTAGCATGGGGTTCAAGGTAGATGCCAAAATGACATCCTCGGGACTCAATTATATATCACAACATATCACAAGCCGGGCTCTGTTGAGTCATATTTTGCTATTAAATTTAGTTTGTCTCTTCATTGGTTTGTTTGAGAGATCAAGTTAATTATGTTCTGGCTTCTCGTCTTGGGTTACATGACAACAGAGTTTTTTAGTCTCCTCAATGTGATTGCTGAATAAATAAAAAAAGCTTAATACTTACAGTACATCATTGTCTTCCAACCATTGTCAGAATGCAACCTATTTCTGGCAGGGGCTGCAGCAACCTGGAGCACATCCTGGAAGCACAGGGCACAGGGCAGTTCAACTGTGTAAACGATGCCAGTCCATTGTCTGGCACACACATCCAAGAACACAGGCACAACTCAGAGATTCCACACAGATGACACCTCCATCTACCATCAAACCCAGCACTGAAGAGCTGTGAAGTCATAATAACCAGCATACAATATCTCCATGCTGCCCTTCAATTCATCCAATCAATTCGATATTGATCGATTATTTAAAGATTCCTTTGCATGAATAACCTAAAACAATTCCCTCCAATGAGACTGATATTATTTTTTAATGCATTCTTATTCATTTATTTTAGCTAACACCATTACACAAAATACCTTACATTCAAAACAATTAATAAACTGTCCAAATTAATAATGGACATTTCACTTTCTGTGAAAGTTTTAGTAGATTTCCTTTGCAAACAAGCTGCTGTTGGTTGTGCTGGTAATACACCCTTAAGCAATATACAAAGGTTTCAGTCTTCAGCTGCAGGGTAAGTCAGTTTGCTCTACTTCTCCTATGGTAAATGGAAGACTTACAATAAAATCTGTAAATTATCTGTAAAATGAGTAGCTCGAGCTAGGAATTGATTGTCATGGTTTGTCCATTTTACCCCTCCCTCCCCCTACCGCCTGTCCACCTGCATCCAGAATCAGAAGACTTCCTGAATAAACAGCTGTACAGATGGCTGTACATTGTCAACTGTATTTGCCAAAAAGCAGACATTCGGATCAAACTTGGAGCAGTTTATTTAAACACGCTGCCATGATAATTAGTAGTCTGAACATAAGGCAGATGTTTCTGCAGCAGTTCATGGGGATATAAGTGAAATCCCTTTCAGAACACCTGTGTAAATACCAAGCACAAACAAATGTGTAAATTCCCATGTGCCACAAATGAGGCTGTCAATAATAAGTGAAGCAGTCAACAGCAATATTCTGTTGCCATTGTTTCTGATTCAGTTCATTCTGCACACACTCCTTTTTACTCAGACCAGAGTGATGATGAGTGATGAAGAAAATCTTAGGGCTAATGTATAATTTTATGGTATTGCGGTTGTATTTAACTGCATTTGCAAATAGTCACATTCCTTTTGCTCAATCCTGAATGAATACAGAGATTTCCTCTCCAGACATGAAATGAGATGAGCACTGGCATTGTGACAGAAAGAGATGTAAGGCAACATTACTGTGTTATACTAGTGAGCAAGTTGATGATACTAATGAAACCTTCCCTGTTACAGGAGGTACTAGTAATTGTAAGGCTACTGAATACATACTGTAGAAGCAGTTACTAACAGGAGCCCTTTTGTCTATCCCATTTTGTATTTAGTAGCTAATTCATCCAAGGATCTCATCCAGTCATTTCTTGAAGGAAGCCAGGGTATGATAAGATGGCTAGTAGTTGTCTCCATACTCCCACCTCCCTTTGCATAAAGAAGAGCCTCCTGATCCCTGTTTGAATGCATTTTCACATTTTCCACTTGTGCCACTTCTGGTCATTCTTCACTGTTGATTCAGAAGTAGTCCACTGGGTTGACTTTGTCAATGACTTTGGCCATTTTGAATACTTGGATCAGGTCCTCTAGTAGTCTCCTCTGTTCGCTTCTCTGAGCCTGATAATGCCTGCTTGAACCAAACAAGTATAAATGACCATGTTTATGTATTTCAACTGAGCAAACGGACCAGGAGAAACATTTGATGTTGATCACACTTGACGTCAACAGCTATCAGCTTCCTCTTAGTTCAGCAATGCAGACAGAGAAATTAAAGCTCAGATTTCTTGAAGCAGTATTTCTTTCACAGACCGTCAAGGGATCCAACGACATTGATGAAAGACGTGAAATCCCTGAACCACAATCATTTGGCATTGAAAATCCACAAATGCAAAAACTCAGCTCTGCTATTTATGGCTGAAGAGCACTCTATAAGCAAGAACAAAACCAATGTCATGCTCTGAAAATGGAGGTATATTCTTCCCAACACGGCGGGTAACCAACGTGTCTAGCTACTCATCCTAATATTTTAGCTGATTCAGTGCTTTAGCTTTCTCAACACTCTACTTACAGTTCATTCCAGACCCTGAATATTACTGTATATTCCTACTTCAGCTGTTCAAATGTCACCACTACTTCTTTGCTGTGTAAACGTAATCTCATTTTCATGTTATAGGAGACTAATTGGTAGAGTAGTACTAATCTCTCTGGACATGCACAGTACTGGAGACATCACC